GCCCACAGAAAACAGCGAAGAGCGGAGAAGCAGGAGGGACGGTGGCCCGGCCCTCCCGGGAGGAGGCGCCTTGCCACCCTGAGGCCTGGGGACACTAGGAGAGGCGGCAGCGAAAGCTCCATCGCCTCCTTCACCACTCGGGGTGGAAGTTACGCTCACGGACCCACCGGGGACTCCGGGGCCTAGAGATCTGGTGACACCCTAGATGCCCTGGGAACCGGCGGGGCTGTGGGAGCCCCTCACCTGCAGCCCCGACCTCCCCCCAGCCCCACCCCATCCATCCACGATGAGGCAGACCCACTAGGATGTCTGTCCTGAAGGAGATGTCGTGAAATCTGCAGGAATATGTTTTTGATCAGTTCATGAAAACCCGAGTCGCCGACCACCTGCCCCTGTGACGCACGGACATTAAACTGCCAACCTGCTTTACGTTCGTCGCCCACGTGGAATGCCTGCTTTATTGGGCCCATAAATCGGAGGCAGTAACACCCAGCCATTAAAATCCCACCTGGCTTCCGAGGCCGGCTCTCACCCTGCATCCTCCAGGTCTCTCCAGGCCTCTGCTCGCCGAAACCCCGCAGCCCCCACTGTGCGCAGCTCTCATTAGGCACCTCCTGTTTACCGGTCTGTTTCGTTTCTTCGCTGGACCCTGTGAGTGCATTTCGTCCTGCTTTCGGGTGTCGATCTACTTCATTCAGTCATCGATCCCCAACACTGAACACGGGGCCTGGCACACAGAACGCGCTCGGCAACTCTTGTCAAGCAGGTGATGGCGCCGCTGACTGGGAAAGAAGCTGAAGTCCAGGAGTGTCGGGGTGACACTCGCAGACGAGAAGCCAGCAAGCGGCCAGACAGGTAGCTGCTTCCACGGAGCCTGCCCCCCAGGCCTTACGCCCACGCAGGGTGCCTGGGGGCGGGACAGGCCTTAGACGGAGGCCCAAAGGCCAGCTCAGGGCCGGGCGCTCTCCAGGGAGAGTGGAGCCCCCACCCTCACCCCCACCCCGGGCCCAGCTTGGTCTCCGGCCTCAGAGCCCGGCCTGCCTGCGAGCTGCCCTGGAACTGGAGGTGACGGAGGGGACTGAGGACAGCTCGGCGCAGACGCCAGCTAGGACGGTGGCCTCCCTGCCCGGTGGCCGCTGGCTCCAGCTGAATGAGAAGCCGTGGTCTGCCTGGGCCGCCGCGGCGAACCTGGGCATCAGAGGCAGCCAGCTCGCCGCTGTGCCTCTCCGCACGCACTGCCGCCTGGGACCTGACATTTGTCTGTTTGGAGACTAGATGAGTATTTATTCGGGTGAAGCAGCTGGGAGCCCTGTGATATTTAGACGGGCTTTAGGAGGCGTGTTTGAGGAGGAGATAATGCTGGCGCTTTTCTCTGTGAACCAGCCCGGGGCCTCGTCACCGAGGGGGCCGCTTGGGTCTCCTGTGACAGGCAGATACAGTTCGTTTCCTGCAGAAGCTGCGGGCTGGGCTGTGCTGATACTGCCGTGTTATTTGGAATGGAAAGGTCAGGCCCGAGATTGAATAATCATTGCCGAGGCCTCCACGGGGACGCCAGGCGGTTGGTGAGCGGTGGCTGACACCCCGCCTGGCTGCCCCGCCCCCTTCCCCAGTCTGGCTGCTCCTGGCTGGTTTATCGTTCCCCCTGCAAAACGCGTCCGGAACCCCGAGAGCCAGTGGGGCGGCGTCGGGATGGAGCGAGGCCGGCTCGCAGGCCGCACGCGAGGGGACCCTCGGCCTTGCACGCTCGATGCCGCCCCTGGGCCACCCTCCCGGGCACCTGCACACGTAGTTTCAAGTGACCATCGATGGCTCTCTCCCTGGCACCTTGCGCACTTGGTCCGCACCGGGACGTTTCCTGTGCCGTCTCTGGGGGTCGGTGGTCTGTGTAGCCCGTGGCCGGTCTGAGCGCGAAGCCAAAGGCGGCTCCTGCCGGGCATCTCGCCTGTGCTGGACCTTGGCTTCCGTGTCTCGCTGGTCCTGGCAACCACGAGGTCCCCGCTTTCCAGGGTGGCTCAGAGGCGGGGAGCAACTCACTCAGGCTGGCCCGGCCGGAGCAGCGGAACGAGGCTTCCGAACCCAGACTTCTCCGGGTGCCACGTGCCGGCCCGTCGTGGGTGCGGTGGTCACACAAAGCTCCCACTGTGCCCTGGAGACCCGTCCTGACGCTGGCCTCCTCCTCCTTCTCCAGAGCCACCTCCCTGCCGATGGCTCTCCCTCCATCGCCAGGCGGTGTGGGATCGGGCGGGTGACCACGGGACACGAGCCCGCGGCGGCCCTGGCACCCTCCTTGCTTGCGATTTTTGAGTGCGGCTCTCTCCCTGGCAGGTCGGGCGACGCCGGCACTGCCTGGAGCGACGGGCAGCAGGGCCGACGGGCAGAGGCACCCCTCGGCCTCCCAGCACGCATTTCTCGAGCTGGCAAAGGCCACGGGTGCCGCCCAGGAGAGTGTGGTCCCTCCAGATGCTCTAGGGCATGACGGGTCAGGCAGAGCCCAGGGCGACGGCAAAGGCCCAGGCCCGCCAGCTGGAACGGCTCTCTGCAACCCCCCCGCACGTCACCCCACCCCCCGTTTCCTGCGGTGGCTGCCATCCTGAAGTTTATAGGTATCATTACCTGTGAAAAATCTGTTCCATCTGAAGACGGCCGGGGTTGGGGATGGGTGGCAGATTGCAATTTAATGATCAGATTAAAATATGCTAAAGCAAACAAATAAATAAATAAGACGCGGGCAGCCTGAAGCCCACAATTCACTCCGTGGGCAGCAGAGGCGGGGCCTCCGAGACCAGCTCGTAAGTCACCGCCCGGCAGGTTCGTAGCCGCCTACTGCGTGACCACACGGGAGGTGGTTCTCCAGGAAACGCTGACCCCGGGCGGCCCCGGCCGTCTCTGGCCTGCGGTCAGGTACCGGCGCCTGCCATGTTCCCGCCTCCCGCCCCACGCTGTGAGTGCGAGGCCCCTCCCAGGACCGACCTCTCAGCCACCGGGACGCGGGAGCTGCGTGTTCTGTTTGTGGCGTGAGCGAGATTCCTCGGGAAGACGTCGCGGGCCCTTGGCTGACGCGCCCCCTTTGGGAGGGACTCACAGGGTCACACGCCTTTTATCTGTGCTGCACCGCGAGCCACAGACTTGCGCCTGTCCGAGTGAGGAACGCGCTGATGCTGGACGCTCACCGGACACGAGTGCCCGAGAGAGGACTGTGACCCCCTCACCCAGAGCGCCCGGAGTGCCGGCAGCTCCCGGGAACTTCGTGGATTGGGGGAGCAGCGCCTGTCCTTAGGGTTCTCGTCACCCTGTATGAAACGGATGTCACCAGGGCCCCAGCTCGCAGCAGCCTGTCACTCCACGGCCCGTCGTCACCCTTCGGATCAGGGACACCTCCACAGTTATTCCAGGCCGACCCCAAAGCCATCAGCCCGGCGTGGCTGAGCAGGGGCGGAGCTGAGGAGATCCGAGGTCACCAGTCACGCCCCCTTTGGGGAAGCGTTTTGCCACACTCAGCAAGTGACGCTGCCAGCACGAAATGCCAAAGGCTCTGCCCGGGACCCGGGGAGACAGGCCATTAGCAGAGGAGGAGGATTCAGTGAATAGGACAGAGTCCCTGTTTACGGACTGAAGAGCCGAGTGACAAATGTCACGCGGGGGGCGCAGGGGCCATGTCTGCCTCCACGCCCAGGGCCGCGGGAGGCAGGGGATGCGTCCACGACGGCCTTCGACCCTCCCTCTCCGGCCTCCTGGAACCTTCCAGGGTGTCCCTCTCACGGCCAGACCCCCAGCTCTCAGCCCCCCGGCGGGCAGGTGTCCTGGCCCGCACCGGCTGCAGCCTCGGCGCGGGGCCCCTGCTGGACTTCTCTCCCTGGCCAGGCTGCTCCTGAGCTGGACGGCGGTCGGGATGATGCTGTCGCCCTCCCGTTCCCGCCGAGTGCAGGCGTTTGGGGCCGAGCGGAGACAGTGGCCTCACCCTGCCTCGCGCGCCGACCCCGTGTGGCCCAGTGCCCGGGTCTGGGAGGGAACCCTAGGCTGCCATTCGGCCCCTGGCCGTGGTCTTCAACTCGACATTAGCAGGCGGCCTTAGACTTCTGAGGCCGCCGAGCCCTCGGCATATCCCTTAATAAAAATGACACTTTGATCCTCACTCCTTTGATCTGTTTTCTATCGATTGAAATTGAATCGTGATCAGGACGCGCGGGTAAGTGATTGGCACATTCAGCGCATCCCTGCCTCTCTGGGGCTCTGGGCAGAGGCTCCTGAGGGTGACGGCGTTGAATGAGAAACCACAGCACGTGTGACGTCCCAGGGGAACAGCACGTGGGACGCGGGACAAGAGGCTCCACCCGACCTCGTGGACGAGAAGATGGGGTGAAGGCCGGGCCCCTGACCGAGGCCCTGAGGGCTGAGCTGGCGTCCCGGCCAGAACACGGGGCCCAGGCTGTCACAGGCCGTGACCGCAAAGGTCGGGGACTCTGTGCGTGCGGACGAGCCCGTGGGAGGGACGCTCGTGGGGTGGCGGACAACGCAGGGAGGGAGCCCACGGCTGGCCGGCCCCCCTCGCCTGCATCTCGCCCCCTGAAACAATGCTTGGGCACCACAATTCTCAAGGCCAGGTCACAGCAGAGGGAAGGGAAGGGGAGTCGCTGGGTAGACAGCCGCGACTCGCAAACTCAGAACTTATGATGGAAAACCTCTCTGACTTCTTCTAGCTGGCGCTTGGTGGGGGTGGTGTGGGGGACAGTCACAGACAAGCAGACGAGACGGGGTGCTCTGCCCTCGTGCAGCACGGCTAGTATTTGGCCATAGAGGACCCCTCCTTACGCCCTCCCTCCCTCCCCGGGTGAGGTAGGTGGCCCACGAGGTCGTCTGCCTCACTCCCGCTGCCTGCAGACTTTCAAATGAGGAGGGCGACCATTCAAACCACAGTCCACACCGGACCCGGCCCCAGGCCGGGGGAGCACAAGCGTCAGCACTTCAGAGGAAAAAAAAAATGTACACGAAATGCAAGTATGTTTTTTGCAACAAAAGAAACTATTTATTTGGAATATGCATTACCGGTACAAATCAGGAGACTGTCAAACCTACACCTGGGCAGGATAATCGGAGAACACAGAGTTCACTTGGAATCGGAAGGGACAGAAGCCTGTGCTCTCACAGAAGCAGGGAAGCTTAAACTTTCAAAACCAAAACAGCGGAGCTTCGCAGGTTTATATTCTGAATAATGAGAACGGGGCGGGGGGCGCGGCCCCCCCCCCCAGGGAAAAGTACTTCAAAGTAACGAGAAGCACCGAAGGAAAGAATGAGCGAGGGACGGGGGCGGAACATCGAATGTTTTATTTATTTTAACAAAAGGGAAAAAAAAGTTTACAAAAAATAAAAGGTTCCAGACAGCTTGGAGCTAGGGGTGGGAACCGCAAAGGTGATGTGAAAAGCGCGTCATTATTTCGCTGTGACTTAAAAACAAGAGCACGGTCGATCGTGGGGGTCAGAACGCTTTCGGAAGCGTCGCTGCGCGAGGCCCCACGCTCCCACGGCCCGCTCAGGCCGCGCTGCGCTCTGAACGCTTACTCGCCGGTCGAACGAAAGACGTTTAAAGTCAAGTTTCTTGCAGATAATGATGTTTTCTTTCTTTCCCCCCGTGACTAAGAGGAACATTCTGCGTCCAGCCAGTTTTCCGACCGGCTTGGAACGGCTGCCGAAGTAAGAGCTTTGCTGTCAAGGCGTCAGACTTGACCTCGAAATGACGGCACTGAGTCCGGCTCGATTTTCCCACCAACGCTTTGTCCAAAACCAGGACTCTTAGCTCGGCAGCGGCGTCCGCCAACGCCTCCTGCGGGGTTCTGAACGCCATGACTAGCCGGGAAGAAAGAAAGGAAAGCATTTCGGGGTGACCTTTGACACCGACAAAAGCAAAAGGCTTTCCCCGCGGCACACGAGGTCCCCTGAACGACTCCTCGAATTCCTAAAGGGCCGGAAGGAGAAGCCAGGCCCCCGACTTTGCTTTGCTCAGGGACTGGCCAATGTGCCACCTGGATGTGGCTTGACCTCTGTTTTTGAAGTCAGTGGATTCTGACCAAAGCGGAGCATAAGGAAACAGCTCCTGGTTTAATGTCGCCTTTTCACACCACCTTGTCACATAGTTAAGGAACAAAAACAGCAAGATTATAATCCTGACAGTTAAAAAAAAGCACCCCCCCATAAACAAACCAAAAATAACACAAAACGAAACATATATATACTTTTTTGTTATATTTTAAAGAGCAGGAATAAAGAAAGGGGTTCACTGCTGGGTCTCAAAGTTAATAAACATAATAACGTGTTAGGTTGTACCTATGATGCTCACTATTCCAACCTTTTTTTTTTTTTTTTAAGTTTACAAAATGAATTACTGTCACTTTTAAACATTATGAAACAGGAAATGGATGCGCACAACTCGACACTTTTCTAGCATTCTTGAACTAATTCACAAATGCAAGAAAATAAAAGAAAAACAGGGAAATGATGAATGCAGGTAGTTCGTGTCGGAATCGAATGCGGGAATGACGCGCACGTCGCAGGAGGAGAGGGGCCGTCCCCGTCCTGCTTTGCGTGCTAGGAGGGTCGTCTTTAGAATTTTTATTATAAACACTATTAAATTCAGACCGCCTTTTTGGTTTTTTTTTTTCCTTTCTCTGAATATACAAGAACGTTCATGACCAAATGTTCAGCATTAGTTACTACAAAGAACGAGACACAGTCGCAAGAAACGATGGAAAATGTTAATAAAGCTGAAAGAATCGTGGAGTGTTTTTTTTTTTGTTTTTTTCCTAAGTTTTTTTTAAATTTGAGTTTCTGTAGTTTTATCTTTTTTTGGTATCGAAGTCAGGTTTTTCTGGGCAGAAAAATCAAAATAGGAAAGAAC